CCCCTCCTTACATTGCCACCCGGGCCCCTTTGGCCTAGTGCGACCCTGGATCGACGTACTGTACTAAAAAAACATACGACTAAGAATCTGTGTGTTTGCCTTAGCGTGATCGTAACAGAAATTATGGAGATAGCAGCATTTCGGTGGGTATTTCAGATCACTAGGAGTTAGCAGATATTATTGAGTTAAAATAAAAAATTTTCTTTAATGGGAAAAAATGTGTTTGCTTTCTCTACTTATAGAGTATTTTTTTCTCTTACTAATGGTATAAAAAAGCTTATTAACGTAAAAAATGGAGTTAGCAGGTTATCACGTTTCACTGACGATATGAAAAACCTATTAGGCAGAAACCTATCATTGGAAGTAAAGAAAATGAATTTGCCATAATTGGTTGTTTTATAGAAAATCCAATATACTGAAATCCAATATAGAACTAATTCTTTATTTTTCTTGATAAAGTAATACTTACTTATTAAACTATTGTAGGTAAATTAAATAAAAACAAACTGTTATAAATTTAAATAAAGTCCATAAACTAATGTCGATTTTGAAAATAGCTACTAACTGTCACTAGCAAATTGCCATATAGCGACATCAACTATCTTGATAGCCATTTTATTGAAAAATCGCTTTTTATTCAAAATCTGAGCCAGATAGGTATAGGAAACGCTAATATAGTTTGAAAGAGCATTTAAATCTGCTTCGACTTATTTTAAAAAATTCATAGTGTGTTTTTGTTTTTATGTAAAATAAATATTTAAAATAGACCAGCAATTTTTGATACCCCTGTATACATTTGAAGCAAAAACTTTTTTTAGTAAAGTTTATTTCTCTGGCTTCAAAGCCAGTACAAGAATTAACTCTGAAAAGTAATGTACAGGGTTAACAATTTTTTTATTATAGCATGCATATTTAAATATCTTTAAATATCTCAAAAACCAAAGCATTTAAACATATTAAACCCTTATAATAAATGCCTTATTTTATGCCCAAAAATACAAAAATGAAATAAAATACCGGGTGTGTGTGTGTTCCATTAGAAAAAAATATAACTTTGGTATGGATCTTAGTTCTGACACACCCTGTACATTTGAAAATAATTTTAAATTATGCACATTGCCTCTCTACTCATAAAGATGTTTGTTTCTACATCTTTAGATGGGATTTTTCCTGCCCTTCTAAATAAGGGTCAGGAAGTAGCTACACTCCATCTATTAAACATTACAAGAAGCAGCTTAGCGATGGGATATATACCAAAGAATATCTTAATACCCTAGAACAAAGAATATCTTAATACCCTAGAAGTCTCGTCTCGCATCAAAATCTGACCTGTCGATGGGGCCTCGCTTTGGCGAGCGAGGCCCCAACTTCGTGGGGCCTCGCTATTTTGCTCGGAATTGAACGAACAGACGCGCGGCGTTGCCTTGTTTTGTATGTACTTTCTTGAATAGTTTTAAATTACTGCACGATAGTCAGCATGCATATAGAGCGGGCAGATCCACATAAACTGCTCTTGTACCAGTTAACTGAGCTAATACAGGCAAGCCTGGATAGCAAAGAAACAGCACTTTGTGCCTTCTTGGACATTGCAGGGGCGTTTGACAATATACCTCACAAGGTGGTCAAGAGATCTCATGAAACGAGAGGGGTGAACAGTACGATAATTCGCTGGTTTTGGAAATGCTCTCAACACGAACAGCAGAGGCTGAGATAGGTACCAAAACTGTAGTTGTTAAAACAACGCAAGGAACTCCACAAGGTGGAGTGACCTCCCCCCTACTGTGGAGCTTGGTAGTGGATGAACTACTGGAAGAATTAACTCTAGCGGGAATACACTGCATAGGGTACGCAGATGACATAGTCATCATTGCACAGGGGAAACATGAAGGCACCCTGTGTGATATTATCCAAAGAGGATTCCGCATCGCTGAGAGATGGTGCAGGACTGTCGGGCTGAGTATTAACTCAGATAAAACCGCAGTAGTGCCATTCACCAGAAAGCGAAGTTTGAAAAACTTGAAAAGAATCCATCTAGATGGAAAGGAAATACTGCCATCACAGGAAGTGAAATATCTGGGAATAACCCTGGATAGTAAACTTCTCTGGAACAGGCATATTAAGAACATTACCAGCAAAGCCACAAAGGCTCTCATGATATGCAGAAGACTGGCGGGAAATAGGTGGGGCTGCGCCCCTAACATTTTGCGCTGGATGTATACCATGATAGTAAGACCCATGATTACTTATGGAGCAGTTGCTTGGTATACAAAACTAGAGCAACGTACAGCAAGGCAAACCCTGTGCAAAGTACAGAGACTGGCATGTATCTGCATCACAGGTGCCATGAGAACATGTCCAACAGCAGCAATGGAGGTCATTCTAGACCTAACACCACTGCATATTGTCGTCGGTAGTTATGCCAATGCGACAATGATTAGAATGGTCATTGACGGAAACAGTACTGGGAGAATTTTCAGGTCAGGGGCTTGGAACACCCTCAAAAAGAAAATTCCACTTCTCCAACTCCCAGTGGATGACATACCAAGAATTTACAACTTTGAGAAACACCTCACTGTAGTATTGAGTAATAAAAAGGATTGGAAGAAAGAAACGCTTACTCAGCATATAAAAGACCATACCATCACGTGGTATACTGATGCTTCCAAAACCAAAGCAGGGACAGGGATAGGAGTATTTGGGCCGAAAACTGAATACTCCGAACCAATGGGCACCTACCCCAGTATCCTTCAGGCAGAAATTTGCGCTATCGAAAGATGCGTACAATTTATCTTGGATAGGAACTATCGAAAACAGGAAATTGCCATCCTATCCGATAGTCAAGCAGCACTTAACGCGATCAACTCAGTAACCATCAATTCGAAGTTGGTCAAAGAATGCCTAGAGAAGCTCAACAAATTAGGCAAAGAAAATAAAGTCCTCCTACTCTGGGTGCCTGCTCACCAAGGGATAGAAGGCAATGAAAAAGCAAATGATCTAGCTAGAAAAGGAGCGAACACTCCACTAACTGGACCAGAACCGTTCTGTTTTCCAAACGGGAACCAACTGAAAGCGGAACTGAAGAATCTGGAAGACTCCATCCGTAACTTGGAATGGGTGTCCTCAACGGTCTAAGACACTCGAAAAAGTTCCCTTAGAACTTATGACCGAGAAAAATCAAAGGTTTTCCTTGATTTAAGTAAAAACAATCTTCGGATTGTCACGGAGTTTCTAACAGGACACTGTCTCCTCAACGAACACCTCAGTAGGCTGAAACTGAGAAACAACGGCGAATGCAGATTTTGTGTGGAAAATGGGGAAACACCAGAACACCTTATCACTGAGTGCACCGAGACGACGACCATTCGTGCCATGAACCTTGGTACGTCTGATGTCGAGGATGGAGAGCTGGCCTCTGTGGAGCCGTCTCAGATACTGGCTTTTCTTAAAGCCCTGAGACTGTATGATGAGTTATAACTCGTTATAACTCAAGAAAGGGGAACACAATAGATCTATAAGGTCGCGGTGATTAACTCCCCTCCTAAACATTCTACATTCTCTTCTACATCTTTCCGTTTTCGTATAATCAACCGAGGCGAATGAGGTGCGCCACCCTGTATATATGGAATGGTTCCAATACCAGACCAATGCCATTAATACTGCAGTCGTCAAACCCAAAATCTGACTTCGATATGTTGACGATACCTTTATAATCTGGAATGGAACCGATAGACCTGTTGGATACCTTTCTCAATCATCTTAATTTACGAAGTAACTCAATCAGATTCACGATTAAGAAAGTCAAAAACTTCTGTCTACCGTTTCTGGATGTTCTTGTCAGTTGAAGCGATAGATCCATTAGAACTGCTGTATGTTAAATACCGGGTGCGTCTCAAAAGTTGCTCACCCCTATAATTTTTTTTTTCAGATAAAAAAAACAAATTTGGTATGGTAGTATATGACATTTACTTTATTCAATAGAAAATGACACTCTGAATAGAATGACATATCATATGTCAACTTTTTGACATTTTAAAAAATAATTTTTTTTTTCGTTTTCGAAAGAGAGAATTTTAAGAAAGTTTGCTACGGAGCTTACAGAATCCCACCGTTGGTTCTTTAATACATCTTTTGCTATGCTCTCCTGAACACAGTGCGGACCGTCTGGCTGCCGGTAAACGTTACGTTCACTACTGCGCATCATATCTGTATTCAACATTTGTTCACTACTGCACATCACAAATTCGCCCTGTATTCCAGGAACTAAAGAGGCTAGGACAAATCTATGTGTAGCAGTTTCATAAAAAAGTAGCAATGTGAAAATCGCATCATTGTATCTCTACTCATAAACGAGAAATCGCATAAAACACACGAAAATGGGATGCCCTGTACAGATGTGATGCGCAGTAGTGAATCGCAGTAATCTACCGGCAGCCACATAGCCCGCACTTTGGTCAGGGGAGCATAGCGAAAGATATATTAAAGAACCAGCTTTCTTAAATTGTCGTTTTCCCGACGGTGCTAGCTCTTGTACTACTATATTTTTATTAACGTTAGATTAAATTTGTCAAAAAAGTTGCAAAACGTCCGTTATCGTACGACCTTTCCCCGTTGACGGGCTGGAGTAAAAAAACTTACGAATGAAAAGTGGCGCGAAAACGCTATGACCAATCAGAGCGCCGCCGCCGTCGGATATCAACGGATAACGGACGCATGAAAATCAACCTTTACACGCTAAAACGCTTTAAGCTTGATTTTCATGCATCTGTTATCCGACGATACAATATTAATTTTATTGGTTGAATTTAAATACTTCGATTGGTTAGAAACGGTTAACCAATCGAAGCCTTTAAATTCAACCAATAAAATTAATATTTATCATCGTATCGTCGGACAACGGATGAATGAAAATCAAGCTTTACTCCCTTTCTGTGATATAGGCTTAAAATGAAATAAGTATATTGTCAATAGGAAATAGACATATTGATGTAAATTAAAACAGATTAACTTGGAACAGATTACTTTTGGACCTTTATTGCTTTTATTCTTAATAGCAAAAAACATTTTAATTGTTGTAAAATCTACATTTAATTGTGATCAAATACACAAAGCCCGAAATTAATATTTTATTCATTTTGCCTTATACTTTCAAACTAAAGTCAAATAAAGTTTGAAACCATTTTTTTATGACACATCATATACACAGGGTGTTCTTCATTGAGAGGTTAATATTTAAAGGCCCGATTATTGAGACAATTTTATAAAAAAATCTTCATATTCTTGTGAAGAATGAAATACTATCATGGGTATTATAAAAAATATAATTTCTCTGAAAATGTTAAAACCCTGTATCTCACAAGATAAGACATTTAGAACATGAACATGATATGAAGTTTGTTTTATAAAAAAATAAAAAATTATCTACATATATATTAGCATATCATTAAGGAATATCCTGTATATATTTTAAATGGTTTGTGGCACCTTCGTATCTTTCTTTTACTAAACATTCCAAAATAGCTTTTAAGGTCGAAACCTCTTTACTTAATGATTTTATTTTCTTATTGGCATAATTAACTTTTTTCCTATAAAATAGTACCTTTTTTTTCAGTTCGGTGTTCTTGTTTTTTATAGTTGCAGGAGAAGTACTAAAAATTTTGATGTGTAGAATTTGGTAAAATTCAATAATACTCAAATTATATTTGTTAAAGCCTTCTTACCTATAACTATGCATAGATTTAATTAATCTCTTTACACCTTGATCACTACCATGGCTTGTGTTTAAAATATTTTGGCTAAAATTATAATAAATTTTACAGTAAAAAATGTTTAATGCTGAATAATCAATACAAAAAATGAAAAAATACCTTATCTCCTGATTTCTATTCCTCCCGGTTGTTGTCTCTTTGTTGTCAAGTATAGATAAATCTGTTTCACCTAGTGGTGTTTCTGATATGCTTGCACTGGTCCTATTGAGGACCCTAGATGTATCTACTTTTACCTCTGATAATTTAAGAGAAGGTACAATATTACATTTCAAACGCCTTCTTCCTCCCAAAAAAGTAAAATCATCATCTTTAAAATGGTCAGAGCAGACTCCTTTATTTTTTGACCACTGCCAATTTCCAGTAATTCCAAGTGCATCAAGCCAACATTTTTGCAATTCACCTCTGGGAAAACTAAAATAAAAATTAATTTCATAGACTATAATGCACTTAAATGCGTAGACAGATCAATATTTATGAACTTACACATGAAAACTAATAACTTTCTCTAGGGATGGAAATTTTCGATTATTATGACAATGTTTCACAGAACAGTTCATTTTGGGGCACACTTTAAAGCCTTTTTTACTAAATATCAATCAGAAAAAAGAATACCAGTATCTTATAAAATTTACGCTAATACTAAAAGCTAAATATCATAGAATAACCAGAGAGAATAACTAAAGTGAATAAATGGTGAATAATAAATATATACTGTTTTTTTTCGGTAAGAAAGGTTTCGACTTGATTTCGACCACAGATTTCGTCAGAAGACGACAGAAAAAAGCAGTGACACCCGGATGATGCTGCGCCACTCTGCGCCCATCTCACTCGCCAAGTCGGTAGGCCCTTGACCATGATATGGCCAAAATGTGGCCAAATATGGCCGAAGACCGCAGTTCGGATTCTGCTTAAACAAAGTAGGCACCGTCCAGATCAGCCCTGGCAGCGAGAAGGAGAATTTACTTACTTTTTTACTAAACCGCAGAATACTGAAGAAGAAGAACCACAGAATACTGGTGCTTCATGCTAACGACAACTGGAAACTTCATAATAGTCAATTTTAGACTGGCCAATCAGAAAGAGTTATTTTAAATATCCTAAATCGTAACTGACAAAAGTCAGTTATAGAACATTTGCTTGGTGTGGCAAACCACATTAAAGAACTATTTTTCTTAAAAATCATAACAGAAATAATATTAGCTGTAGTTAAATATGTCTAAAGAAGAGAATATTCAAATTCCTGATGTCATTTATGATCCTTTTGCTAAAATACATTATAAAAAAGGACGATTTTTTGGCAAGGTAATTTTTTCCAAATAGTTTTTTGTTCTGTTCTAAATAGCCAATACATTAATGAAGTTTAGTTATTAACGCTGGGATTCTTTAATAGGGTAACGGTTAGTGGCTTATGTTTCTAAATAGAAAGTATAATTTTTTGTAGTTCTATAATTCATGTAGGACTTATTATTCTGAATGATACCTATAATATAGATGTATTTCTATTAACAGTATAGTAACACTATTCTATGATATATTATATATTATATATACATATTTTAGGGTGCTTTTGCAAAGTGTTACGAAATCATTAATGCACAAAATAATGAAGTTTATGCAGGGAAAATTGTTTCGAAAAAACTTTTGGTCAAACAAAATCAAAAGGAAAAAATGACTCAGGAGATTCAGATACATTCCGCATTGAATCACCAAAATATTGTTGCATTTCACAGTTTTTTCGAAGATAGTTTTAATATATATATTGTATTAGAACTATGTAAAAAGAGATCCATGATGGAATTACATCGAAGAAGGAGAGTTTTAACTGAACCAGAAACTCGCTATTATATGAAACAAATTCTGAGTGGGGTGCATTATCTTCATTCTAATAAAATTATTCACCGTGATTTAAAGCTGGGAAATTTGCTCTTAAACGATAAGTTACAAATAAAAATTGGTGATTTTGGGCTTGCTGCAAAAATTGTGTATGATGGGGAGAGAAAGAAGACTTTATGTGGTACTCCAAATTATATTGCTCCAGAAATATTAAATAAGATGGGTCATTCATATGAAGTTGATATTTGGTCAGTAGGATGTATTATGTACACATTGCTTGTTGGAAGGCCACCTTTTGAAACAAAAAGTTTAAAAGAAACATATGAAAGAATTAGAAAATGTGAATATAAGTAAGTTAATTTAATTTAAACTCTTTGATTTCTTTTAAAACTTTTGAATTATTTACAATTAATCAATATTTTTCAATTTTTCCAGCTTTCCTATTTGGTATTTTTACTCCAAGCTTTTTATAAAATAATACGGGATATACAGGGTGGCGCACCTCATTCGCCTCGGTTGATTATACGAAAACGGAAAGATGTAGAAACAAAATATTTTATGGGCATATGTGGGGAGGTAATGTGTACAATTTGAAATTATTTTGAAATGTACAGGGTGTTTCAGAACTAAGATCCATACCAAAGTTATATTTTTTCTTATGGGACACCCGGTATTTTATTTCATTTTTGGATTCTTGGGCCCAAAAAAAGGTATTTATTATAAGGGTTAAATATGTTTAAAATCTTTGGTTTTTGAGATATTGAAAGATATTTAAATTTGCATGCTACAATAGAATAGATTATTAACACCCTGTACATTATTTTTCAGAATTAGTTCTTGAGCTGAGTTTAAAGGTAGAGAAATAAGCTTTACAGAAAAATGGTATTCCTTCCTTAAATGTATACAGGGGTATCAGAAATTGCTGTTCTATTTTAAATATTTATTTTACATAAAAACTTCGTTATTTCAAATGCAACACTACCTATGTATTTTTTTAAATAAGTCGAAGCAGATTGAAATGCTCTTTCAAACTATATTAGGGTTTCCTATACCTATCTGGCTCAGATTTTGAATAAAAAGCGATTTTTCAATAAAATTGTAATCAAGATGGCTAATGTTGTCATGGCAAGTTTCTAGTGACAGTTAGTAGCTATTTTCAAAATCGAAATTAGTTTATGGACTTATTTAAATTTATACCAGTTTACTTTTATTTAATTTACCTACAATAATAGTTTAATAAATAATCTTTATGAAATATGTGTTTATTATTCTATCAAGAAAAACGAAGAAGTAGTTTTTGAATTATTTTACGATGACTTGTAGATACATGAATTTTCTATAAAAGAGCCAATTACGGCAAATTCATTTTCTTCACTTCCAATGACAGGTTTCTGCCTAATAGGGTTTTTATAAACCACACTAGGTACCAGGCGAAATAGGACAAGAAGTTTTTCAAAGAAACTCTCATCAGGAAGATTCCTATTTGGATATCTTTGAGCATAAGCCTTTGAGGCCAAGAAGCAATTTTCCTCACAAAATAATATCACTGGTAACATATCTATTCGTTCCGCTAGCAGATACTGCTTTATTTTTCTTGATAAAGTAATGAATACTTACTAATTAAACTATTGTAGGTAAATTTAAGCGAACTGTTATAAATTATAAATAATAATGTCCATAAACTAATGTCGACTTTGAAAATAGTTACTAACTGTCACTAGAAAATTGCCATGGCGACACCAGCCATCTTGATTACAATTTTATTTAAAAATCGCTTTTTATTCAAAATCTGAGCTAGATAGGTATAGGAAACCCTAATATAGTTTGAAAGAGCATTTGAATCTGCTTCGATTTATTTAAAAAAATACAGGGTGTTACATTTGAAATAACAAAGTTTTTATATCAAATATATCCTTAAAATAGATCAGCAACTTTTGATAGTATAAATTTAAGGAACCAATACCATTTTTCAGTAAAGTTTATTTCTCTACCTTTAAACTCAGCATAACAATTAATTCTGAAAAGTAATGTACAGGGTGTTAATAATCTATTCTATTGTAGCATACAAATTTAAATATCTCAAAAACTAAAGATTTTAAACATATTTAACCCTTACAATAAATGCTTTTTTTGGGCCCAAGAATCCAAAAATGAAATAAAATACCGAGTGTTCCATAAGAAAAAATATAACTTTGGTATGGATCTTAGTTCTGAAACATCCTGTATATTTCAAAATAATTTTAAATTGTGCACATTGTCTCCCCACATATACTCCTAAAATATTTTGTTTCTACATTTTTCCGTTCTCGTATAATCAACCGAGGCGAATGAGGTGCGCCACCCTGTAATAGGACACACTTTAAATATATTTCAAGTTTTGTCATATAAGATGTGATTTAAATATGGTTTTTATACTACTATGCTGTTAGTATACTAACATTATGATAATTGATAATATTCTACTAATAGTATTATAACTAAACTACTAATAACAGACAAGATATTCCACTATTAAACTTCTTTTAGAAAATAATTAACACATTTAAAACGTTCCTTTTTAATAACATCATCTGAAGCCATTTATATACAGGGTGTCCCAATATTCCGTGGAACTACTACTTGTTTTTGGAATCAAAATAAGTTCATTGGACACAATTTATCTCTATACAAAAGTGCTTCATTTGTCCGTTAGAGGGCATCAAATTTTAAAAAAATTAAATACACATTATTTCAGATATTTTAAGAACAGTTATTCCAATTTGAATGAGATTTTGAGTATCTACGTTTTGCTAAGTGTTTTAACATTTGACTTTCACGAAAATCAAGAAAAAGTACGGGAAGGGTGAAAACTATCCCCAACCTTTTTTTTGCAACCATCACTTTTTTTTGTAAAATGGTCCTTCTAGTATTTACTACATTTTTTGTTTCTTGTATAAAAACGCCACTGCTCATACTTTTTGAGGAAAAAAATCATTTTTTCAAAGCTGACTTCCAAAAAATGTTTTTGTCACATCAAGCTATTTATTATTATTTTATTATTTATTTATTTACATTGATACATTTATGTTCAATTTTACTTAACAATAATCTTAACCTATTGCAATAAATTCAACAACAAACTTCTAAATCCACCTGTATCTGTATAATAATAATTCCCCCCCACTTTTTATAAATTAATGTAAAATAACAATATATAATAAACTGCCGTCCATGCCATATACAAATCTATAATAAATAAATCCACAATCTACAATAATTCCAATAACAATCTAAAAGTTATACAAACAATACCCGGATAAACAAACAACCAATTCAATTAAAAGATATCGTGAAATTAAAAGACAATGTGAAATTTAAAGATATCGTGGAATTAAGAGACATCGTGAAATTAAAAGGTATCGTGAAATATCCTGGGGTTTACAAAAATATATTGTTTAAATTCAGTGTTAAATTTGTATTTAGTTTTTAGTTTTTTATTTCTAAAGGAATGCAGTTGAAGAGTTTAGGTCCAATGTATGTAACAAAACGATGTAAAAGATGTTTTTACAATAGATTTTTTTTCAATGCGCTCTAGGGGCGCATATATCTATTATGCTCTAATCTAATTGGCAAAAATATTGAATTATTTGTATGACAGATTGATTATATTTGACAATAAACTTCAAAAAACGCTTAAAAAATGCCCTCTAACGGACAACGAAGCACTTTTGTATAAAGGTAAATTATGTGCAATTAACTTATTTTGATTCAAAATATACATAGTTATTCTATATCCACGGAATATTGGAAAACCCTCAGGTATTCCCTGTATATTTTCGCTAATAAATTCGCTAAAAAACTCTCAAAAACTATGCGATGTGGCGTTTTTTTACAAGAGACACAAACTTGAGTAAATACTATAGGGACTATTTTATGTAAAGCTGTCGTCGGTGGAGTTGGAAAATATTTATAATAAAATTTATGTAGGGGTGGGGGTAGTTTCACCCTTCCCGTGCTTTTTCTTGATTCTTAAGTCGAGGTGAAAGTCAAATATTAAAGCACTTAGCAAAACATAAACACCCCAAATCTCATTCAACTCGGAATAACAGTTCTTAAAATATCTGAAAAAATGTGTTTATTTTATAAATGTTTGATGTCCTCTAGCTGACAAACGAAGCACTTTTGTATAGAGGTAAACTGTGTTCAATGAACTTATTTTGATTCCAAAAATACGTAGTAGTTTTATGTCTGCGGAATATTGGGACACCTTGTATTTATATACAGGGTTGTCCGAACTGTATTCCGAAAACGTCGGCACAGATAAAAATAAGTAAAAAAGTTCGTATAAATGTATGTCCTAAAATGCTTAGTTTCGGAGATACAGGGTGTAGAAGTTTCATTTTTATTTTGATTTTTTTCAAATAATTTCTGAAGTAACGTCAATATTTCGATGAAAATTGGTGTCTCGGAGTTTTATGATACGAAAAATTTAATTTTGATGTCAATATGACTCCTACTTGTAGAGGGCGCTACCTACAAATTTTTTAACAGTTTTGAAGAGTAATAACTTTTCGTCCGTTCCTGTATAAAACTATTGAGCGAAAAAATATACATTTCCGTGATTTTTTACGTAAAAAATGTCTCTTGGTAAAAATCGCTACGAGCAACCATTCTCAAGATATTTAGAATGGAAATAGTCAATACGTATCATTATTAACAAAAAATAAACATGTTGAGTAGATAGTTATTTGACTGAAATGATAAATTTGGGAACTTTTTATTTTTTGAAATTAAATCATAAATTTTCCTTTGGAAAAATGATGATAAACAGTTTCTGTTGAACTTTTGACACAAAAACATTTCAAATTTACGATTTTAGTCTAATAACTATTTAGTAAACATCTTCAATTTATGTCAATTATCCCAAGAATTGGTAATTTAGATTTCAAATATCTTGAGTGATAAGATATCTTGACTTGAAGTGATTTTAACCAAGACACCTTTTTCCCGTAGAAAACGCCGTACATGTAATTTTTTTTACTCAGTAGTTTTATACAGGTACGGATGAAAAGTTATCACTCTTCAAACCAGTTAAAAAATATATAGGTGGCGCCCCCTACATGTAGGACTCATATTGACATCAAAATCACATTTCTCATGTCAAAAAACTCCCAGACACCAATTTTCATCCAAATATTGACGTTACTGCAGAAATTATTTGGAAAAAATTGAAATTAAAAGGAAACTTTCTACACCCTGTATCTCCGATACTAAGCATTTTAGAACATACATTTATACGGACTTTTTTTACTTATTTTTATCTGCAGAATGTGCTGCCGAAGTTTCCGGAATACATTTCGGACTACCCTGTATATGTTTTTAACAATAAATTAATAATTTGCATTCACATCTGCGAATGTTTTAAAATTGGCATTTATTACATCACTAGCTTGTGCTGCCGAAGTTTCCGGAATACAGTTCGGACCACCCTGTATATGTTTTTAACAATCTACATAATAGGTATATAAAATGCTAATGTTTATCTGTGTCGTCTCTACTGAAGTAACGACTTGCTCTAGAAAGTTGCTTTTTTTTTACTAAAAGATAGCTAATTGGCTCTTCTAAAAACTGTCGTCGCCGGATTTTTTGTTTTTCATTTAATTAAAAAAAAATAAAAAGTATTTTTGTGATGTCGTGGCGGATGCGCCAGGCTTCAACTAGTAAATTAATAATTTGCATTCACATCTGCAAATGCTTTAAAATTGGCATTTACTACATCACTAGCTTGTGCTGCCGAAGTTTCCGGAATACAGTTCGGACCACCCTGTATATGTTTTTAACAATCTACATATATAAAAATGCTAATGTTTATCTGTGTCGTCTCTACTGAAGTAACGACTTGCTCTAGAAAGTTGCTTTTTTTACTAAAAGATAGCTAATTGGCTCTTCTAAAAACTGTTGTCGCTGGATTTTTTGTTTTTCATTTAATTAAAAAAAAAATAAAAAGTATTTTTGTGATGTCGTGGCGGATGCGCCAGGCTTCAACTAGTAAATGAATAATTTGCATTCACATCTGCGAATGTTTTAAAATTGGCATTTATTACATCACTAGCGCCTAATATTGCGTACATTTTACAAAAAGTAAGATAGAAGCGAAAATCTTAAACTGAAAACCCAATATCCAGCCTACATATTTTTTTAATACATATGTTTATCATAAAAACTGATCAATCACCTTGTAAAAGATAATTCATTTATTATAGAATATGTGCTACTCTGTCAAGTCATGCTAAACACATGATTATGATTATGCTACAATCGGACCCAAGCAGAAGACCAAAAATTGAACAGTTACGAAAACATGATTTTATTACTAATGGTTATTGTCCATCGTCATTACCAATAAGTTGCTTAACTATGGCGCCTCGTTTTGATAATGTGCATGATATTACAAATCATAAAACAGTGCTGATGGAAATTCATAGTAAGTTATTTTTTAATTATTCTAACTCGATATTAAACATCTCTCTTAATAGATAACACAAATGGCATCTCCCCACGCAAACATGATTCAATTGCTGCTGGATTGACTGGTGTTAAGACGCTAAGAAATTCATTTGATGCAAAAGAAAATTTGCAAGCTTTAAAAAATTTGCTTATAAAGGTAAGATATTTTTTTTTAACAGTTTATATTATTTTTTTTTTCTTTACCCTGATCTAAGTATTAAAATTAAGTATTTGATGTTCTATTTACTTTAACTTAAATATGGGAGATATACAGATGAATTAAAACAACATTAAAAAATAGATTTACTTTAATAACTTAATATTAATATTACAGCGGTAAATTATACAAAAATGTTGGTTTAATATTTTACAAGTACACCTTTAATAATTTAATTAACTTATTATAATTACTTTGCTTACAGTGTATGCCAAGAGATTCGAAAATAATAGGAAAACTATTACCATTTTAAGAATATATACAGGGTTTTTGATCAATATTTTCGATATTTTTCATTAAAAGTATCTAAAAAATGTCTATACCTCTGTGGCGGATTCATCTCTTCAAAAAAATCCTATGGATATTTCGCCACTTGCGCTGTAAGAAAACCTACAAAATAAATTAGTTTTTGTTAACACTGCTGCGTTAATCTAACGGAGACCAACTTGTCAGCATCGATTTACTAATAAACAAATTTGCCTAACGGACAATAAAAAACGACGACCACGGGAAGAGATATACTTCCCGAAAGCATTTAAGCAAAATGTACCATTATATAGTCAATTATGCGATTATCCTTGTTTTCATTGGTCGAGACTAAACTTTACTAAAATGTGGTACATTATGCCTGATGCCGAGCGGCATTAACCTTTTCACTCGCTCTGATAAAGATTGTTTAGAAATTAATTATCGTTATACAATAATATAGCTGTTATGCTGTAAAATTTGCTGCTTTTGGATTTTTTAAGAATAAAGGCAAAATTATACTAAGTAAATCGGAGTTGGCGGATTGATATGACAACTTCGTCAAAAACACTCCGCCATTATAATACGCCTCTCTCACTTAGTTTTCATTAGACAGACTACGTCGTTTTTGTGTGTTTGAATAACTTTCGCATTTTTAATTGATTTCTACCATGACATTTGAAGGTTTGACGTATATTTTACCGGATCAATTTCGATACAGTGTAAAAGAAGTTTTGGATAAAGGAAGCATTATTTATGCTGAACTAAAAAGGAAGAAGATTGCGACGCATGGATTTCAGAATTTTCGCGACTAAATTCAACTGCCTGGATTGTACGGCGAACTAAACCAGCATCCATTCGCATTTTATGCAGGTTGCTAGATATAATATAGGTATAATTATTTATATTTATTTTATACTAGCCATAGTCCCCTGTCTGCTTATACAGCGTGATCAGCTAAAGATGGCACTCGGCTATATCTCGAAAAGTAGTAATCATAGCTGGAGCAGCTATACGCGTTCAACCAACGGCGTTAGCAAGAAGAAAAGCCGATGTGGCCAAGGGGAGCAAAAGGTTACCATCTGGCCGACCTCCATCTTGTGAGACGCGAAGCACTTTAAAAAGAAAGCGAAGTTTGGCTTCCAATGTTAGGAAAAATGTGCCTAATGCCAAATCGCACTTAATCGCACGATTAATAGATACGTTTATCTGGGTTGTTTAAATGATGCTTGTATTCCAACCTCATGCATACTTGCATTTTAATATATCTATATTCTTTAAAATAGGCGTTTTCTTAACTTTTTGCGATGATCTTAAAAAGGCGATCAAATATTAAATAGGATAATTCTGGGGGCAGTCCTAAAAATCAAAGATTACGCAAACGCTTATTAGTAAAGATACATAAATTTCGGAATACAATATGATTGTAATGTTTTTATATTAAGTTTATAATACTCGTAATAGCATAATGACACTTATAATATTTTAGTCTAATCTATATTGTAAAACATCCTTATATTGTAAGAACATCCTTAAAACATTTGCAGTGTATAGTATTTTCATCAGGGCGCGTGACAGACTTTTTACTACATTCAGTCTATGGCAGAACGTACCACGTTTTAGTCACGTTTGGCAAAACGCACCAGCGTTTAGTCTCGACCAATCAGAGCAGGGATAATCGCATAATTGACAGTATAATGGTACATTTTGCTTAAATGCTTCCCGAAACGTTAAGCATTTTTTTTTTGTTGAGACGGTCTATTTTGAAAAAACTAAAGTGTTCTCGAATAGTTGCATTGAGATATTTTAAATAGTTTTTATATATGTTGACGCATATATACGCATTGAGATATTTTAAATAGTATTATATATATTTTATAGAAAGAGATATACTTTCCAAAACGTTAAGCTTTTTTTGTCCGTTAGGCAAATTTGTTTATTAGTAAACCACTGCTGACAAGTTGATCGCCGTTGGATTAACGCAGCATTGTTTACAAAAAAATAACTATTTTATTTTGTAGATTTTCTTACAGTGGCGAAATACCCATAGGTCTTTTTTGAACACTATCTAAATTAGATCCTGCAAAAACTTTTAATGAACCAGTCGAACGAAAAACCCAATAATATTGCTTTTTCAAAATAAAAATTATGAATCAGATTCAATTTAACATTTTCAACTCCAAACACAATTTTTGGGTTGTTATGTGCTAACTGTTATAACAACAGTTTACAAAAATAACTTTTAAATATATTAAAAGTGGTGCTAGATGTTAAAACATCCAAAAGTGTTTCGCATCTGAAGTTAACTCATAGATATATTGGGATTCAAATATGTGCTGGATATGACAATAATAATTATTTAAATAATACTTAAAAAATAGATATTTTAGTTTTTAGAAAACATAGATACATATATTGAAATTCCCATTTGTTGCGATCTTTTTGTCACCATGCTGTTAAAAAAAATATATTTATCATTTTAAAAACACAATGTATAAAACAAACTTATTAGTTTAGGTATGACAACGCTGAAGTTTTCACTTGACAACTATTTTCAAAATCTTTTAAATCTTACAGATTAAAAAAACGCGTAGAAATTTTCGCTTGACAAATATTTTAATTTTTTTTTAAATCATACAGATTAAAACGACGCGTTTTCAATTCACATACGATATGTGACTGCATTAAGCTTGATTTTCATGCATCCGTTATACGTTGATACGTTGGTCCGACGGTTCTCTGATTGGTCATAGCGTTTTCGCGCCACTTTTCATCCGTAAATATTTTACTTCAGCCCGTCAACGGACCCGTTCATACGATAACGGACGTTTTGACACTTTTTTGACAAATTTAATCTAACCTTCATAAAAATATAAGTAAAATAGCAAAATCGTTATGGAAACGAAAATATAAAATGACACCAACGCATATCCGATAAACGGAGGCATGAAAATGCTATAAATTTAAAAACTGCGTTATTTTCTAACCAATCAAAGTCTTTAAATTCTACCAATAAAATTAATATTGTATCAACGTATCGTCGGACAACGGATGCATGAAAATCAAGCTTTATGCGTAATTACTTATACCTGTGATTTTACTGATAAAATATACATACTGATTTGATAAACAGCTTGAAGTAATGAATATTTCATAGCAAACACTTGCATTTAACAACTTATTCATTTATTGACTAATAAATATATGTTTCATTATATAATTTATTATTAAACACTACTTATAAAGGTAGTGTTTCTATTATTTAGTACAATTTTTATATTACCTTCTGTTGCAAAGTAGACTTGTTAAAACATTTCTATTAATCATTAATAACAAACTTAACGCTCTCTGAATGTCGTAGATAATTTAGAACTAGAAAAACTATATTTTCGAACTTGTTATGTACTATCTTTGTTTTGAAAAAATTAACCTGACATTTCAGAGGTACAGGGTGGGTCAAATTGGACGCTTTTAAAGGGAAACGCCCTTTTCTATAGGAGATGTGTCTGGAGCTCAATCAAAAACATGATGGTGAAAACCGCACATCAATATCTTGTTACCGTTTCCGAGTTACGGGATGTTTTTCAAAAATGTGCATATTTAACAAATCGTTGTAACTTTTTTACTATGGAAAATTTTGTATTTTTATGAAAACATTTCCAAAGCACCTTTTTACGTAAAATTTAATGGTTTAAGTATATTTTTTTTTAATTAATAATTTAAGATTTATCAACAAAAATATTGATTTTTTATTTTGGACACTCTTTATTTTTTTAATTAACTGAAACTCTCATATTTTTAATTAACTGAAAAGAACTTAAAATTACCTTTCCAAAAATATAGCACACTTGATATTTCATTATAGTCCTCTTCGAAATACAGAATTTTTAAAAGTTCATTCACTTTTAACTAGTAGGCTTTGGACCCCTTGTTGATGATCTGTCCCATAGACAAACTAACAAAAGCAAGACGCGTCAACGCTGTACTTCAAAACGGTAACAAGTTTGATAAGAGTTTATTACCGCGCTTGCGTCAACTGGCCTTTTAGACGAGGACGGTTTACTTATGGATTGTGTATTTTGTAGTAGCCTTTTAGACAAGGATGTTTAATTAAAAAGCGTTTATTAAAATCAAATAAATTTATTTCCATCGGTAAAATAAACAATAATTTCTGGACATAACAGATATAAAAACAAAAGTTAAATAAACGAAAACGTATTCCTCTTATTAAAATAACAAAAAGATGATAAAAAACAACAGTTATTGTAAACGAAATAAAAGCATTATTCTTCAAAAGGTACAAAAAATAATTATGTATATTATAATATTAATAATAGGAACAACAAGAAACATCTTAAAAATATACAACTTTTTCAAATATAAAACAAAAACATAAACTTCACATTTTCACAAGAATTTGCAAAAATATTAACATTTCGAGTCTATTATAAAATATAAAGCACGAAAATTCAAATCATAAAAAGATTAAAAAGATAAAGATTCTTATAACTTACAGTCAATTCGTAGAACCTTCGTTTTGTCTATGTTAGCGATGTAATCACAATAATATGTATAATCACAGTAATTATTATGTTCTTCATAAATGTAAAATGTATTAAATTATTTGTTTTCGTTTTGTACGCTAATAAAATAATAGTAATAACCAAACAAAACGCAAAATCAGGAATTCAACAGTTCGTTCAAGGATGGTTCAAGGCAAAAACGTTTTTCGTTTTATTTAGGTTAGGTTTGACGAGTGCGACTGCGCGATGGTTTCTGACTCAACTGGCCAGCGCAAAAACAATAATTCGACTTCCTCAATCCTTTGAAAAGTCTTGCTTTTGTTAGTTTGTCTATGATCTGTCCCTAATGGAAATCGAAAACATATTTTTCCAGCAAGACGAGGCACCGCCTCAGAACGCTGAAGTTATTAGCAGATTTTTGTAGTCAATTTCGAGAATAAATGAGTAGTTAACCAAGATCCCAGCCATTGATTTTTATCTTTGCGGAAGAATAAAGGTTCTTATTTTTAAATATATGTGGCAAAAATCATTTGTTTGCCGTAAATTGCACAAAGTGCTTAAATTCTTCATAGGAAAAAATATATCATCTCCTTTATATACAGGGTGTCTCAGATTTTAATCGGGAAAATTTAATGGACGATAGAACTTGCAAAAATAAAACAAAAAGTTCATATCAACTTGTGAGATTTAAAGCTTCCTTTTTGAGATACAGGGTGTTAAAGTTACTTAAAAAAAAAACATAAGATATTTGAGAAACTATTTAATCGATTTTGATATAACTTGATCCGTTTATAATACTTACTATGGGACTTAATTTGATGTAATTAGATTTAAGTTTAATGGCCAGGGGCGGCGGTGGGGCATCACTGTTAAATTATTTTAAAGGAAAAAATAGGCACGCCACTGCTTTTTTAGAAGTTTAATATTATTTTTAGATTTAGTATTTAGTAATTAAAAATATAATTTTTTTGTCTCCTGACTTTTTTGTCTATCTTGCTTACTTGCGAAAAAAATTTAATTCATTTATTCACTCCACCCTGGACAATACATTTAATAATAATGGTTAGGTTATAGACAAAAAAGTCAGGAGACAAAAAAATAATATTTTTAATTACTAAATCCAAAAATAATAGTAAACTTCTATAAAAGCAGTGGCGTGCCTATTTTTTCATTTAAAATAATTTAACAGTGATGCCCCACCGCCGCCCCTGGCCATTAAACTTAAATCTAATTATATCAAATTAAGTCCCATAGTAAGTATTATAAACGGGTCAAGTTATATCAAAATCAATTAAATAGTTTTTCAAATATCTTAATTTTTTTTTCTTTTTTAAGTAACTTTAACACCCTGTATCTCGAAAAGGAAGCTTTAAATCTTACAAGTTGATATGAACTTTTTGTTTTATTTTTGCAAGTTCTATGGTCTATTAAATTTTCCCGATTAAAATCTGAGACACCCTGTATATTATTATAATATATATTATATTTTCAAAAGCGATATTAACTAGATATTTCGTGGTATTTTAATAATTTCAGAAAGAGCGTCAATTTGTTAAAAATGGTTGATAAAAATATTCTTCATACAAAATAATGTCTCACATCTTAATCTCATTGATCTTTAATTTTTGTATAATGATTACTAGGTAACTAATACCTTATGATCGAGAAAAAAAACGCCGTCCAGTTGGCTTGGAAACGGAGATCGGTGACATTTCCCATATAACTTTACATATAAATAGATTATATAATTCTTGCCTTGAATGAAAAGCTATGAAAAATTCTAAGTCCACGTTGTGTTTGTCATTGCGGGAAAATCAACCAACCTCTCACAACCGGTTTCTCGGCCTTTACCCTTCATCAGGTGAGCACTGGTCGATTTCCTACAATGACAAATAAATCGCGGAGTATTTCAAATAGGTACTGTCGGAACTTAGCGGTTAGATATTAAATCGCCAGTACAAACTGTATAGTATAGTAGAAATAAATATGAAGAATTTGGGGGTCACTAGATTTATCTAAACAACAGATTAATCATGTTATTATGAATCTAAGTATTAAAAAATGTTAGAAATTGTCATAAAGTGGCTCTGTTCAAGCTTTTAGTGATATATTAATATTAAGGTTAATACTATTAGAATATATAATTTAGTAATTTCTAGCTCATAGCTGATTAAAATATTAAATTAAAAATAAATAATGAAGAACGTGCAACTAAAAATTTGTACTATTATTTAAAACTCTAAAGTACAAAAAACTACTTAATCTAATTCGAGTTATTAAATGGGTAATTTTATAAATCAAAATATATATCTTTTATAGTCTAGAAAAAAGGGATCGTTGAATTGAGTATTTTTAACGTTAATCTTACATGCAAATTTTACTAGTGATATATTGTTGTGATAATTACCACTTTACCTGAGATGCCCATATATGAATTGTACAGAGGAACCCACTACATAATGAAAGAGTATTTAAATACATTTTCTGGCATACTGTTATCATATTCTTTTTTCCTGGTAAAGTATATTTTCTACTAAAATTTCTCTTTTTGCGAGTACCAGTTATTGATCTATTTTTTATAGGAAATTCTTCGACTGTATTCATTATGAACTGTTTTCTTTCTTGCCAGTTCATTGAATGCCAAAATTTGTCATGAAGGCTTTTTCTTTGAATTTCATTTAATTTCTTGCTACACTGGGTCCGACAAGAGGGTAGACATGGAGGTCCCATTTTTCGACTTCGCTTTTCTCTTCTCACTCTTTTCACTTTTAATTTTTCAGAGTGCAAAGTATCTTCTTTTATGTGACTTTCTACAAGATCTGCGCAATTTATGAAACTTTGATCATCTTCTGAAGAAATTTCTACTTCGTTATATTTGTTGGGAAGGCATTTTGCTAATGTAAGCACTGAACCATACTCCAATGTTCCATTTGTGTTGTAATGATCATCGTCATCTACAATACTTCCATCTTGATTAATACCATTAACTGTTCTTTTCAGAAAAATTTCATCAATTGAAAGTGTTTGCAAATACATTTCCCTACATACTATAATGTTATCATAGTACAAAGGCAACATAAAATACTTTATTTCTTTTCTTTTTTCTTTGGTAAGGTTGTCTCTAAACACTTGAGTACTAATAGTTGATAATATAAAATGCTTTTTATCAACCTGCGCAGGCAAGTTCCAAAACTCTCTATGAATTTGTTGACGAATATATTCTGTTAGTTTGAAATTGCATTGCATTTTGCATGAACATGGCGGTTGTAGAGGTCTAATAGTTAACGTAGTCCTTTTGAATGGAAGTGTATAATCTTTGGCAGTTTCTTTGGAGGACGTATTGGGTAAAACTATATTTTCAAACGTTAGTTCATTGAAGTCTGAATAATCTTCATTCTTTCTTGTTTTATACTCACTTATTTGTTTGCTGTCTGTTGTTCGACTAATGCAATTTGATACTGCAATCTGTATAGCTTTTTCTGTTAAGCCCAAAGTGTTTAAGTACATTTCCTAAAACATAATAATTGTCTTATATTTTATAGTTATGAGTATTGGTGCTGATAGAGAAAATAAATTAAAATTTTAACAGTAGATCTGTGTCAGTTTAAATAAGAAGTAGATTTTGAACATTAAAGCAGTATGTCTGAAACAGTATGTCCACAACTACTTTATAATGTTTGTAGATGTTCTAAGATCCAACAACACAAAAGGGTAGTAAAAATAGTGACATTTTCAGTTGTAAATAGTGTGTGTTTATATCTATTTATATTAGTACAAGTGCAGTTTTACATACCTGACAGACTGTTACTTGACCATTTTTTATTGGAAGTACAAAAGTTCTTATTGAAGTGTTCCTATCTTTTTGTATGGTATTTATTAGGAAGAGTTTACGATCTCTTGGTGACATTAATTTTAACCAAAAATGTTCATAAATTTTAAGACATACATCTTTGGAAATTTTTAAGTTACATTTTTCTGGGCATGAACAAATTGTTTTAATATCTTTTTTATTTTGTATATTTACAAATTGATCATCTTTTGAAAGATTATATGTAGAAACCTTTGCTTCAGTCACTCCATAGTCATTATTGTCACAGACAATATTTCTTGGCATTTCAGAAGTAAAGCAGTTAGGTTTTCTCGATATCATATTTTTGCTTTTATCGAGAACTTTTATTTTGGTTTCGTCTAGTGTATTTTCTGGGTATTTGAGCAATGTTGTTTCAATGAATTTGATGCTTATGGCGAATGTATTAAAAAACATAGTTTTACAGACTACTGTTAAATCATCTTCAAGTTCTAAATAATATTTTCGCAAAAATTTTTTTCGCGACTGATTATCTGAGTTAGGAATTCGCAATACTTGACATAAACGTCTGATGTGGATTCGTCGTTCTTCCCATGTCTTTAATTTTCCCCAAAACTTGTAATAATTGTCTTGACGAAATCGCTCTGCTATTCGCAAATCACACTTTAATCTACAATCAGTGCAAGTTGGTCCAATTATTCTTTGTTTAACTGTTTTTCCATTTAAGTATTCTCCATCTAACTTATTTGTTTTTTTCTGTAGTTTACTGTTAATTGAAATAATACTTTCTCTAGTAGTAACATGTTCTTTTTTGTTCATTGTTCCCATTGAACTAACCCTATTTTCTTGTGATGTCTTAATTTATACTATATAGAATAATTTGATCTAATAAATCAGTACTATTCATTTGTATTGATGGGTTAAAATTTCTATTTTTTTGTTCTTTGCAGTCACAGCTGGCAATTGACACTAAAAAATGGTACCGACTTTAAATTAAGACAGGAAATTAAAAAAAATGGTTTTATACAGTGCGGACACAGTGCGGATGCGTACGTCCACAGCGTACGTCATTTGCTGTCCTCCATTCGCGAACTTCGAGTTCCGGGCTTTACGCCCTGGTGCTACTCCACTGCTACTCGAGAACGGTTCTGAAGCCCCGTTCTCAGAACTGCGACTGTTGCCAGCGACACGTCAAGAGAACCAATCAGATTTGTACAAAATTCAAACAGCTGTCAATTTTAAATTTAGTACAGCTCCCATTGGTTGTTTGAAATGTCAAACTGTGTCGCCCGCGACACGACGTTGTTCTGAGAACGGGGCTTGAAAGGAGCGGTGCGCGATAGCCTGGTGCCTCCATATGGCGCGGAACAGTTCTGGAGCTTTATGACTATTGAATGGAGTGAGAGTATCGCGTTCTTGAACAGTTCAGAGCTGCTCAGCTGCGTGAAAGGAGGACAGCAATTGGATCCTATCGTCCTATTGCTGCCAAAAGTCACTAACATTTTTCCGAACAACCAAATTCAATCACTAACTATGTTTTGAAGCGGAGAATCGATTGCAAAAGTCATTAACTACGATTTCCGGCTATTTATGTTTTATTTTAATACCGAATAGTTACTAACTATAACATCTTTGCAGCAATGCAATTCATCTTTAGACGCATTTTTCTCGGAAGTAATAAAAAGTAAGTTAGTGACTTTTGGCAGCAATGGGACGATATAAATTTTTATAAATTAAAAAAGTACAATATTATGATCAAGCGTACTTTATATGACGAATATGCATACTATAGAAAATTACAACTGTTATAATCATAATTTAATCATAACGTGCCTTATTTTGTTAATTTTCAACGAAGTATGGCAAGCGAAATTTTACCTATTTTAAAGTTGAAAAATTTATGGACTATCTGAATATTGGTCGTTTTCAGATATCGACTAGACTTACTTAATGCTACATTTTACAATTTATAGGAACTATTATTTATTTATAGGAAATATTTGCATCCGTGAAAGAAATCCGTTTCTACTAATATAAATTACAAATTCCAACTTTTAAACTCCAAGACTTAATTTTCTTCTAGGAAATTTGCGACATTTGTAGACATTCAGAACTAGGCTCAAATTGAATTTTCTGAACTGATGCGATAGCATGACACCTACATAGGATAATATACTATGAGAGGAAGGGATAATCTTGTATATCAAGATGCAGATATAGTTAATTAAAAAAACTTGTTTATTTACAGAATTATTCTACTTTTACATATTTATCAGTTAATTAGTTGGTTTTAGCTACGGTCCCTTTTAAATTGTTAAGTTTAATCCATTGAATTTATTTTGATTAGCCATCTCACTAAATACTGGATTACATATCCTTAAAGTATTACTTCGTCATGTACAATGTAATTTGCCCTTTTCTTATAAGGGAATCTTTTTCATTGCTATGATCATTCATCAATTTATTTGCTTAGAATATTTTGCAGTCACCATAGGTAATAGTTGTTATATGTTCACTATTATTCAAACTATGCTTGTAATAGAGTATTTAAGCAGTTATAAAGTTTACAATTTTGATGGATTTAATTGAATAACACCTTCTTTCTGCAGATGATCAATATATTCATTGTCAAATTTTAATTCCTTAAGAATTTCATATGTATGTTCCCCTATTTTGGGTCTTTTTAATGGCGCTGTGGAAACTGCGGGCGTTCTACTTAAAATTGGAGCTGGATTTGGAGAGTATTCTTCATTTTTTGAGGTAAAACTATTTTGTAAATTGTTGTGAACATGGTTGGGTGCCTCGTTTAATTCCAAAACAGGTGTAACACATGCATCTAATTTTTCAAATATTTGACACCATTCATCTCTGGTTTTCTCTGCAATTCTGTTGGTGAAGGCTTTTCTTGACTTTTCAAAATCAAACTGTGGTGCATCATCCCCTGTTAGACATAAGCCTTCAAGTAATTGGTTATAGAATTGAGGTTCTATGGCTCCGATAGATATGTATTTTGCATCTTTTGTTTTGTATGTATCGTAAAAGGGAGCACCGGAATCAAGGATATTTTCACCACGTTTATTACCCCATATTGGTAATTTTTGTGACCTATACAAAAAACTTCCTAAATAAGCTGTACCATTTACCATGTTCACATCAATTACTTGACCTAATCCTGAACTTTGTCTCTCAAAAAGTGCCATAATTATACCTAATGCGCATATAAGTCCTCCACCTCCAAAATCAGCTGCTAAATTAACTGGAAAAATTGGATTCTCATTTTTTCTTCCAAATAAAGATAACAATCCAGACATCGCTAAATAGTTTATATCGTGACCAGCCTTGGTACAATAAGGACCAGATTGACCATATCCAGTTAATCTAGCATATATTAGTTTTGGGTTTTCCTGCATCAGTACGTTGGGTCCAAGGCCTAATTTTTCCATAATACCAGGTCTAAAGGGCTCAATTGACACGTCTGAGGTTTTCACTAATTTCTTAATTATTTTTGTAGCTTCTTTGTTTTTTAAATCCATAGCTATAGATCTTTTACCATTTCCTAAGCAGTCTATATCACTCGAAGAATTGATCTGGAAAATTTTCATGTTTATTTAATTAACTTAATATTTATCTTTAAATATAGCAACAAACCCTGTCAATGCGTATCACAGTGGCCCCAAAATCGGCTAGTATCATACCACAAAATGGTACTGGGGCTAGTCCGGCGAATTCTATTACTTTAATTCCTATTAACGCCATTTCGTGTAATGAATAAACTTTTTATTGTACTTATTTCATATTGTTCATAGAGGTAATAGGCGTAGATTTCCATCAATAACACATATTTATTTTATCGTTTCTGTTTATAAGCTCAAAGTTCATTATTTGAGGTTATGTTCACAGGTTATGTTTTATATTCCGTTATTCCTTTGCTTAGTTTCTTTGAATAAAAAAATGGAAAGAGCATAATGCTTATCCATGTATTCATGTATGCTAGATGGAATCGACATACATCTTGACAGTTCTGTTCACGTTCTGTTTAACGGTTAAATTGAAACATCTGAATTTGATTGGAAATCTTGTATATTTGTTTGTCTTTACTGAACTTATTTTATGTTATTTATTATTTATTAATAGTAATAAATAGTCTTTATTGTAATCCATATATAAAATAGAAATTACCATAAAAAATTTCCCTTAAAGAAATACCAACCAAAAAAGCAATAAAAATATAAAGATGTAATACAATAGGTCGAAAAAAAGACGGGGTGCGATGGCTATGAAATGAAGATCACTCTCATTTTATATGTAAAATTATATGGGGAATGCCATCGATGTTAATTTCTAAGCCAACTGAATGCCGTTTTTTTTCGATCATACAGTATAACATACATATTAAGAATTATATACACTATGCCCCCGGATTGTCATTACAAGAGGAAAAACTTTTTTATTATTGACATAGCTATTTTGAGAAAGTTGACTAGGGACTAGGGGTGATGTCCTATATTTAAGTTTGAGATACAGGGTTGTAATATTTTCTAAAAAAATATCACTCTGATCTTATTGCAGATGAAATTTGATAAAAATTAATTTTCCGATGTGTAAAAAAATTGTATCTGTTAAGTTCCATCCAGCCAATGCAAAACGACTTCCACACAAGTCACCACATCAGATTTTGTTTTAATTGTTAAAAATATATATTAGCGTTTTATGTGTGTGTTATTTGAGTGCATGTAATTCGTATAATTTTTAAATTTATTTATCTTAAAGGTTATCAAGAGTAACCCAACACTTCATAAAAAAGTATCGGATGAGATGACTGATCCAGTTGCCCAGCCTACTGTGTGGATTTCCAAATGGGTGGACTATTCAGATAAATATGGTTTTGGCTACCAGCTTTCTGATGAAAGTGTTGGAGTAATGTTTAATGATACTACAAGATTAGTTATGCTTTCAAATGCTATGTAAGTATTTTTTCAAGTTTTAAGTGAATTGTTAAAAAACATAGGCAGTATACATACACATTTTTATTAACCTTTGAGGAAAAATGCGTTATGTATATTTAAAAAGTATCTGAAACTTTTTTGAAAAGTAGTTCAATTTCAAATAAACGAATTCGTTTATATTTTTAGCAATGTACAGTATGTCGATAAAAACGGCGATGAGTCTTATATGACCATTGACACTTATCCAAAGGAATATGAGAAAAAAATGAAGCTACTATCGTACTTCAGTAGATATATGAGGGAGCATCTTATTAAGACCGGAGCTGGCGTTGTTAAGGAACTCGATACTATGTCTAGAACACCCCATTTACATCAGTGGTGTCGATCAACTTCTGGTGTACTCATGCAACTGAACAGTGGAACTTTACAGGTAATTTTGTACTAACATTTCTTAACAACAGTTTTCTGAAAACTCTACTCAAATTAAAGGTCTCTGCACATTATTATACACCTATCGTTTCCGGGATGTAAGGCTACTTACGCTGCGCGTCGTAGAGTCGTACAACAAAATTGAACAATTTCGCAGAAGATTGACAAGGTTCTCTCACGATATAGCATGTAGAATAAGTAAGAGGGGGGGGGGGTTAATGACCGCGACCATTAAAGATCAATTGTGTCCCCCTTTCTTGAGTTATGTTTCTATAACTTATCATACATCCTGTTGTAGGGGTGACGGGGTATTTCCCATCCTCCTCTGACAACAGATGTTCATCCTCTGAGAAGTGGGTATGTACCTCCTACGAGGGTATACACCCTTCCACGGTTGGGGTTTAATCCTCCTGGCCCTTCACAGTCGGGGAGCTTGTCTCCGGCTAAGGTACCCGTGAGGTGGAGGCTGAAGGATCTGTCTCATGACAATTCTACCAGATTGCTTTTTCTCTTTTGTAAGAAGTTCTATAGTTTTCTTCTTAATAAATTCCTCTGTTGGCATTGGGCTCCACTAGTTTGAATTTTGTAACTAGAGTACTCATTGCCTGTTTTCTTGCTACACGATCGTGGTAATTTATCGAGAAGTAAAACTTCGGTAGAGATTTCACAAAACCTTGTTAAAATTGCTGCAAATATTTAGACATTTTTACTACAACTTTTTGAACTGCGGTCCAATACAATTCAACTCGGTCTGTTGTGCACACATGCGATACAATATTGTCAAATGTTCGATTTCGTTGTATCCAATATAATCGTAGTGCGGCGTTGGATCGTGGTTTTAATAATAATTCATGCACAATACCCGGCATGTATTGCATCATACAGGGTGTTTCAAAAAACATGTACCATCTCTCGCGTGGAGATTGCTCACATCATATTTTTTTTCTGCTTCGTTTCGTATCTACAAGGAGTTAGTCATCATTTTTTTTTCAATTTATTATAATTTTCTTCCAAGTGCTTTTAGTGATTCAAATGAAATTTTGAGGGTAAAAGTTACTATAAGTGCTACATATTTTAATGCTAAGAGAAAGCTTTTAGTCAGCAAATAACGGCTTACACTATCAGGGGCGGATACAAGAATTTATTTTAGGGAGGGCCCAAATAAAAAGTAATGTAGAATATGCTATTTAGGGCGTTATAGTTACTTTTACCCTGAAAATTTCATTTGAATCACTAAAAGTACTTGAAAGGAAATTATATTAAATCGAAAAAATATTAAGACTAACCGCCTGTAGCTACGAAACAATGCAGAATCGGACCTAAGTTAATATAAAAAATAAATTCTATTTTTACGTGAGGCATCTCCTCGCGAGAGATGGCACATGTTTTTTGAAACACCCTGTATACGCAACGTCCAAACCATCAATTTTTGATACCCCTGTATACATTAAAAGAAGCAATCAAAATTTTCATTAAAGTTTATTTCTTTGGCTTAAAAGTCAGCTCAAGAATTAATTCTGAAAAGCAATGTTCAGGGTGTTGACCATCTTTTTTATTATAGCATGCATATTTAAATATCTTTAAATATCTCAAAAATCAAAGCTTGTAAACATATTTAAAGGTACATTCAGGCTGAGAGCGTCGAGCGTCGCGTTGCGTTTGCATCGCGTCCGCGTGTCGAAATGGAATCAATTCACTTAACTTAATTACTTACTTAATTTTATACTTATACATTTAGTTATGCAAAATATTTTTTTAGATGAACTTTAGCGATCATACAAAGATAATAATGTGCCCTTTAATGGCAGCCATTACATACATCGACGAAGACAAATCGTTTATGACTTTTAGATTTAGTACAATTGAAAAATATGGATGTTCAAAAGGCTTGTTGGAGAAAATGAAATATGCTTATGATAAAATATCTATACTTTTAGAAAGTGAGTGTTTTAAATAGTAATGTGTTCAATAAAATAATTATATGTTGTGTTTCTATAATTAAATGGCCATTCAAACATTCTTTTTACAACAGTTATGTTATTTCATGTTACTGAAAAACTTAACTAGTATTATTATTAAGTTACTAAAGGTAAAATATTAAATTCCTTTTTTATTCATTACATGAATTAAGCTTAGTGAAATATAAGAAGTATATTAATTTGTGTATTAAAGCAATTTTCAAAGTTGTAGCGATTTAGTTGTTTTAAATTTGAATTATGTATTTCTATTTTCTAATATTTTACTTGTGGCCAATTAATGCTTTTATTGGAAAATATATCAATATTTACCAATCAAAAAATATCTATATATAAACAATAATGAAACCTGAGTTCCATAAAAATTCGCATATCTACAGATCGGTGAAATTCCATGTATCCTCATTTACCTATCACACTGTAGATAATGATAATAACTGATATACTGAGTCTCGTAGACACAACTTTATCTAAATCATTTTTACACTCAGTAAAGTTTAAGTTTTAATTTTTTATGCAAATATCATTACTTTTATATTGTTATTTATGTCAATAAAAATAATACTTTTTATTTGTATCTTTTTATTAACCTGGTATATAAATAACCTTCTATTGATTAAAGCTTGATTTTCATGCATCCGTTGTCCGACGATATGTTGATACGATATTAATTTTATTGGTAGAATTTAAAGACTTTGATTGGTTAGAAAATAACGCAGTTTTTAAATTTATTGCATTTACATGCCTCCGTTTAACGGATATACGTTGGTGTCATTTTAAATTTTCGTTTCCATAACGATTTTGCTATTTTACTTATATTTTTATGCAGGTTAGATTAAATTTGTCCAAAAAGTGTCAAAACGTCCGTTATCGTATGAACGGGTCCGTTGACGGGCCGAAGTAAAATATTTACAGATGAAAAGTGGCGCGAAAACACTATGATCAATCTTGGTTTTTGTAGTTTAGTAGTACAATGGAAGTCCGAAATTCTTTTAGTTTTAATACTCAATCATTGCCTACGGCATTCAAAGTAATTTTTATTATTAGGTATCCTGCAAAATGACAAACAAGATTCATTTCTAAATTACTGTTTTTCTGATTATCCGTATCTATTTTTAATTTTTATGGATAGCTCATGACAATTCAGAGAGAAAAGAACAGAGGTCTCGTTTTTTATAATAATGTTACGGATTCCGACGTAAACAATAAAGTCTGCCGTTTTTAATAAGATGTTTGCCAGATCATTTTGGCAATTTTCAGTACCCGTGTGTAATATTCGGACACAAAGTTTTTTAAATGTTCTTCTAAACTGGATGAATTTATCCTGGATGGGAATATTGATAGGTTTACAAGATATTGGAATTACAAGAATTACAGGAATTTCAAGATAAAGTTGTCGACCAGATTTTTATTAGTGCAACTGTACACTCAAATCTCGCGACAAGCTTATTATATAATATAAAATTCTGTAATGACGCTATAAGTCCATAATAAAAGTTTATTTTTTTCTTTTTAATGTATTTAAATAAAAGCTTGTTTTTAAAATTTTTTTTTTCTTAAATTTATTTTTTACTTTTTAGTTATGCTGGTTTCTCAGTGCCACACACTTAAACTCAATTCTTTTTCTTAAATAACTTCCTATGGGCATCCTAATAATATGTAAATCGATTTTAATTAAAAAAGGAGAACTTAAAAAAACGACAGCTGTCAAATTTGACAGTTCAAATGTGAGACAAATAAAATGAAAACCGACTATGGGGTAGGGAGCATCCAATATATCGATTTTTATGAAAATCTTTGAGATTTTTTTGACAGCTGTCAAATTTGACAGCTCATTTTTTTTTTCATTTTAACCCATGGCCATCCTATATATAGATTTTTATCAAAATCGGACAATTTTGAAATTTTTTTGACAGCTGTCAAATTTGACAGCTTATTTTTTTTCTTTCATTTTAGCCCATGGCCATCCTACATATCGATTTTTATCAAAATCGGACAACTTTGAAATTTTTTTGACAGCTGTCAAAAATTTGGGTCATGCTTTGCAAGAAAATGTATTGTCATCGGGACTGAACCTACATGCCAAATTTCAATTTCCTACAATGAAAGGAAGTGCTTCTAAAGATTTGCCCCGAACAAACATACATAAAGTAAACGCCACGAATGTTTGGGAGTGATTCATCGGTCGCTACCATGTGAATTAATCTGTTCAAGGTCACATAAAACTTAATTCCAGTGCCGTGGTCTTTCAAATCATATAATAATCAATATATAATCTGTTGTAATTTGTTGTTTTAACTGTCAAAGTCTTGTCAAAACATATATTTGGTTATAAATATAAAATGGAATGTCCCATTGGTCGCACTGCAAGCACACCAATGGATTGACGCACAAAAACGAACCAATCAAAGAAACGCGATATAGTATCGTCTTTGTCAATCACGCTAACATTTTAGAATAAGTAGGAGGAGCGCAGACAGATGATTAGACCGGGCCTTTAAAAACCTACGTCTGCGGTAAAAATTTACATTTTTAATGTAAAAATGATAGCGCGCGTGTCGATTCTAACTTCATCAAGCGATGAATCACTCCCAAACATTCGTGGCATGAAGTGATCTTCATTCCATAGCCATCGCTGACGCCGTTTTTTCTCGATCATACGGTATTTTATTGGGTATTTCTTTAATTCTTGTTTGTAACTCCTGGCATGTTTTTTAATTTTAATTGTCTATTCTCTACAGTTAAATGTTTAATTGATTTTTTCATTGTTACTTTTCGAGGAGTATATGCGCGGTTAACGATTCATTTGTTTAGATAAAAGTATTGTGTAAATAAAATTCAGTTTCAGTCAATTACAGTATTTTTTTTAATACGACCCTGTCTATCAATAGTTTATTTTCTTCAAAATCAAGCTTAAGTCAGATAATACCGTTTCTATGATATCGAAGGGGAATACATATGACGTATTTTTTGAACAGCCCCGACCTACCCCTTAAGCGGCACCCCTACTCACTCGAAAATCTTAAATGGCAACACCCCACTTGTGACGCCTTTTTGGAAAGCCCATGAAAAATGCTAAACGATGATCATAACGTTTTTAGGGTGAAATTGAAAAAGTTGGCGACGACGATCCAGATAGAAGGATTCAGTTCTGTGAACTAATGACGGAGGAAATTCGAAGGGAACCTTCACTCACTAAAAATATTTGTTTTAGTGATGAGTGCTCATTTTTCTTAAACGGAATTGTGAATAAGCAGAACTGCAGATACTGGAGCGATGAGAATCCGCATATTGTTGTTGAAGGACACACTCCAACATCCCCAAAAGCTCAATGTTTGGTGCGGAATACTAGGCGATAAAATTATAGGTGCATTTTTCATCGACGGAAATGTGACTAGTGATGCCTATGTGGAAATGCTGAACAATTTGATAGGGCCAGACATTGTAAATGAGGTTGAAAATCAAAGAGATTTGGAAGGAAATTTAATTCTTAATGAAGACCTCATACACTTTCAGCAAGATGGAGCCCCTCCGCATTATTCTATTGTCACAAGGCGGTGGTTGGATAGATATTATCCACGGCAATGGATTGGCAGAAGGGGTCCAATCGAGTGGCCGCCAAGGTTACCTGATCTCACTCCTTTATACTTTTTCTTGTGGGGTTACACTAAATCCATAGTCTACAAGACAAAACCAGGTTCGTTGCCAGAATTGCGGCAGAAGATAACTGAAGCATGTCGAAATATTCCGAGAGAGACTTTCCAAAAAGTGAGAGAAGAATTTGAAAATCGTTTGTATTTTTGTATGGAACAAAACGGCTGTCATTTTGAGCAATTGTTAAAATAAATTATCATTTTAAATTTCTTTCAAATTGTCACATCTACATTTCTCATCATTCACTACTTACCAGTAATTGTTGAAAGAAGACAGAAGTTGAAATCTGTATGACCATCGTTTAGTAATTTCAATTAGCTTTCCAAAGAAGTGTCACAAGTGGGGTATCGCCAAAGATATTTAAACTCAAGAGATACAATTGTTTACCTTTCTCCTTCATCAGCTATTATTCTATCCTTATTTTCCCATCTCTCTTACACCGAAAACATTTGCCAGAATTACCTGTAGAATGTAGAATGTTTAGGAGGGGAGTTAATCACCGCGACCTTATAGATCTATTGTGTGTTCCCCTTTCTTGAGTTATAACGAGTTATAACTCATCATACAGTCTCAGGGCTTTAAGAAAAGCCAGTATCTGAGACGGCTCCACAGAGGCCAGCTCTCCATCCTCGACATCAGACGTACCAAGGTTCATGGCACGAATGGTCGTCGTCTCGGCGCACCCAGTGATAAGGTGTTCTGGTGTTTCCCCATTTTCCCCACAAAATCTGCATTCGCCGTTGTTTCTCAGTTTCAGCCTACTGAGGTGTTCGTTGAGGAGACAGTGTCCTGTTAGAAACCCCGTGACAATCCGAAGATTGTTTTTACTTAAATCAAGGAAAACCTTTGATTTTTCTCGGTCATAAGTTCTAAGGAACTTTTTCGAGTGTCTTAGACCGTTGGAGGACACCCATTCCAAGTTACGAATGGAGTCTTCCAGATTCTTCAGTTCCGCTTTCAGTTGGTTCCCGTTTGGAAAACAGAACGGTTCTGGTCCAGTTAGTGGAGTGTTCGCTCCTTTTCTAGCTAGATCATTTGCTTTTCATTGCCTTCTATCCCTTGGTGAGCAGGCACCCAGAGTAGGAGGACTTTATTTTCTTTGCCTAATTTGTTGAGCTTCTCTAGGCATTCTTTGACCAACTTCGAATTGATGGTTACTGAGTTGATCGCGTTAAGTGCTGCTTGACTATCGGATAGGATGGCAATTTCCTGTTTTCGATAGTTCCTATCCAAGATAAATTGTACGCATCTTTCGATAGCGCAAATTTCTGCCTGAAGGATACTGGGGTAGGTGCCCATTGGTTCGGAGTATTCAGTTTTCGGCCCAAATACTCCTATCCCTGTCCCTGCTTTGGT